TATTTTAATGATTAATTCTGAATTTATCATATCATTATTAATTTTTATTATATTTTAATCGTATAATGATTAATTTTGTTGAAATAAATATATCATGTCCATGTGTTTTAATATTTTTTTTTAAAAAAAAAAAAATGTCGAATGAATGTTGTATTTGTCATGAAATTATAGAATCGATCATAGAATTATATCAATTGCCTTGTCTTCATATATATCATGTCAAAGTATTGAATCATGGTTAAAAAAGGATGAAAATTCTAAAATATGTCCATTTTGTCGTGATTCATATGATGAGGAAGAATATGATATAATATTAAGACAAATTGATGAAAGTAGACATTTGAAACTTAAGAGAAAAAATAAAGAAGAACAAACAACAAAGGAAAGTTTTGATTCGTTATTAAAAAAAATAGAGAGAGAAAGAGAGACAGAATTATCAAATTTGATAGAAGATATTAAAGTGAAAAAACAAAATCATTCAAAGGAATATAAATCTGAATTGGAAGAAATACTCAAAGAAGAAAAAATCATAAAAACAAAAAAACAAAATATTTCGAGAAAGTACAAATCAGAATTTGATGAAATAGTCAAAAGAGAAAAAAATATTAATGATAAGATCATTAAAGAAAGTGATGAGAGAAGAAATAAATTATTGAATAAGAATAAATTAAGAATAGAATTGATAAAAAAAAAATATTTGAATATATAATTTTATCTGATGTGAATTTTTCTAGAAAATTCTAAAATTTTATTTAATTTCTCATCGTAATTACATTCATTATCTGTTTCAATATCAAGATTTTCACAAATCATATCTATTATATCATGATATTTTTTATCAATAGAAATTGTTTTATTTTTTGTATTTAGCTCTTCATTTTTCAATAAATATTTATTTTTCATCCAAGCAATCAAGATTGTTGTAATGAACGTTATCAATATTAATATGATATCTGCTACAAGTTTATATAATAATATATTTAAAACATCTTTGTCAAATATTTCTTTTTCGATTATATCTGATATGATATTCATTTT